CCTATTATATTAAAAATTCGAGGTACATACAATGGTTTGTAATAACAAATGGATGCTACTTTGTCATGCACATCAAAAGATGTGCCTAGTCATTGAGGAAGAGGAAGACATAGAGAGGTGCACTGGAGGTACAGACAACAAAGATGAACTATTTTGCACACAGAATACTGTGTTGTCAGTGATGGCAAACATTGATCTACAGGTAGCTAGATGGGTGGACAGGCTGAATGATTAGGTATGTCTATGCAGGGAGGAGTGTGCCCATGATCATGTATAGGGGTGGCAGACAATTTTGCTATAAGTGTATTTGTATGTTGTGCAAGAATTTCTAGGTATATGGAAGAGCTGACAAGGGACAGGTTGTAGTCACTTTTTGGCCACAGCCAGGTACCCACAGGGAGTGAGTAGTTGGACCTATGGACTCAGGACCATGGTCACAGGGCACATCGAGCTCAATTGGCATAACATGCTACACAAAAACATTGTTCCACATCCTTCTTTGGCGAGTAGTGACTGGGATCTTAAAAGCTTGCAAGTGGCCATCTAGATGCAATAATGGGTTTCTCCTTGTCTGGAGCAAAGAAGAATGAAGAAAACCAAAGATGCATGGAAACAATTTGTCCAAGTGACTGGTATGCCATGCAATCCTCAGCCTATATGACTATGAGACCAGAAGAACTAGATAGTGCCCAGCTACCACTGTCAACACTCAGAGAGGAATCTATGTAGGAGATTCTGGATAGAGTGGGAGAACAGGGAAGAAGTGGGAAGAAGAAACTCAAAATCATTTAAAAAAAAAAATGGGGTGGGGACCAGTTTTGCTGGTCTGATAGAGCTTGGTGGAACCCCTGAGACTATGGCCCCTAGCTGTCCTTCAGGTGTGGAATTGAACCCACTTATGTGGCTTCCAGCATATGAGGCATATGAGCTGAACATTTACATTAGGTAGATACAGTCCTTGGAGAGATCAATCATGGGAAAATAGAAGGGCTGTGTATGTAGAGGGAAACAGCTACTGGGGGGCTGGAATGCATGGGAGGGAAGGACACAGGAAAGAGGTGGTTATGGTGAGGAAGTTGGAAGAGAGTGGTTGCATTGTGGGAGATGACAGTCAATGTCATGAGACAAAGTATATGTGAACTTCTGTACGGAAAAGGTATTTGCTCTATAAACTTTCACCCAAATCACAATAAAATTAAAAAAAGTAAAAGTGTGTCTAGTGGTTAAGAGATCCTGGATAGAGTGGGAGAACAATGTGCAACAAAACTCAAAATCATAAAAAAAGACTGGGGTTACTGGTCTGATAGAGCCTGGTGAGACCCCCTAGACTGTGGCCCCTAGTTACTCTTCAGGTCTGGAATTGAGCTCTCTCTTGTGGCTTCCAGCCAAATAATAGATGGGCATATGGGGTGAACGTTTACATCAGGTAGATACACTCCTTAGAGTGATCAATCATGAGAGAACAGAAGGGCCGTGTTTGCACAGGGAGACAGCTTGCGGGGCAGGAGTACATGGGAGGGAAGGACACAGGGAAGAGGTAACTACAGGGAAGAAGTGGGAAGAGAGCTGTTACAATGTGGGAAATTGCAGTCAATGTCATGAAACAAAATGTGTAGGAACTGCTGTGTGGAAAATGAATTTGCTCTGTAAATTTTCACCCAAATTACAATAAAAATTAAAAAAAATATTATTACTATGTTTGTATGTCAGCTTGGCTAGGCCTGGTTGAGTGGCTGGGCAGCTAGATGTAGTATTCCCTTATGATGAGACTGGTAATCAACTCTATGGTGGAATGTACTGGGAGCAGCTGAGTAGCTGCCTTTGGAATGTGGTCTGCTTCCTGCATTTAAGGAGAAGCTTTGGGAATGGTCTTTAGCCTATGGCATGCTTGGACCTTGCATGTAGCCGTGTCGCTGCTCAGCAGCCTGCTATGCTCTGCCAACCTTGGGACTTACAATGGACTTAAATTAATGGCCTGCCATGTAGTTTGGTAACATTGGGACCTTGTCAACCTTGGAACTTCTCAGCCTCAGCAGCCTGCCGCTGTCTGAGTGAAGAAACACCTCTAGCTCCAGTGGGCTGGGAGCAGGAGGCAAAGCTGGACCCCAAGGCTGAGGGGCTTTCACCCAGCCCCTAGAGCCTGGCACTTTGAACTTGGACTTAAAGCCTCCAAATTGTAAGAATAAACTCCTGTTTGTTAAGACCATCCCATCTGTGGTATATTATTGTCAGAGCAGCACCAGGTAACCAGAACACTGTATTATTATGTTAAAGATGTTTTGTATATCTAAAAGTGTTTCTTTAATATTTTTTATGCACAGAAGCTCTGGTAGCGTAGTGCCTAAGGCATTTGACTGCTAACCAGAAGGCTGGTGGTTCAAACCCACCAGCCACTCCTCGGAAGGAAGATGGGGCAATCTACTTCCATAGTGATACTGCCTCGGAAACCCAAGGAGGGGTCTCTATGAGTTGGGTCCGACTCGAGGGCACATAACAACAACAACATATACTTTATACCAAGGCAAACATTTGATTAACTGACATTAGATATGAACTGTACCTAATTGTTCCAACTTGTGCACAAATTCAACTTAAAAACAGATTTTGGAATAGGATTTGTTGGTAATCTGGGGACTGCCTGTATATAATATGGTAAGTATTTCCCAAAAACTGGAATATTGTCTTACATTACTATAGTACAGTTATTAGCTTCATAGATTTGCATTGATATAGTACTTTCATCTAGTCTAACATCCATATTCGAATTTTATTTGTTGACCTAATAATGTCCACTATAGCCCGCTCCAGTACTGGATTCAGTATAGGGTGGGGTACTGCATTCACTTGTCTCTTTAGCTCCTTTAATCTGGGATACTTCCTCAGTCTTTCTGTGTCTTTTATGATGCTCAAAAGTTAAGGAGCTTTCATAAGAGACTATGGGCAGAGGTGGTCTTGCCTAGTGGTTGAGTATAGACATCAGTGCCAGGCTGCCTGGGTTCAATGCCCACTCTGCCATTTATTAGCTGTAAGGGTGGGCGAGTTGCTTAACCTTTCTGTGCGTTGCTTTTGCCATTGGTGAAACCAGAAAAACAGTAGGTCTATGTCATGGGGCTTGATTATATGTCCAGCAGCTTCTACTGGTATCTGGTAAAAGCAAGCAAGCAAGCATTCACTTATTGTTATCATGGCAAACCTCTCCTTGAAGGACTCGGGAAATGCAGCAAGCCCTATAGGTGTGCCCCGCATCAGTGGCACAACAACAGGGCCAGGGGAGGCTCTGTGGCAGCCTGGTCCTCCGTGGCTGGGCCTGCAGTTAGCCACGGGGCTCTGGTCTGGACAAGCTGTCAGTGTTTTTTATTTTTAACTTTATTTATCTGTTGTTATTTTTGTTGAGAATATACATGGGAACACATATACCAATTCAATAGTTTATACATATACATTTTAGTGACATTGATTACATTCTTTGAATTGTGTAACCATTCTCACCCTCCTTTTCTCAGCTGTTCCTCTTCCATTAGCTTCCTGTCTTATCTTTCCAGTTGCAGTTGTCAATTTGATCCTTTACAGAAGGTTCTTAAAAGAGTATAATGTTCAAATCAGACATTCTTCACTAGTTAAGCTAAACTATTTTTTTGTTTTTAAGACTTCAGGGGATATTTTTGGTTTAAAAGATTTCTCAGGGCAGTAGTTTCAGGGGTTCATGCAGCCTCTATGGCTCCAGAAAGTCTGGCATCCATGCAAATTTGAAATTCTGTTCTCCATTTTCTCCTTTTTGATTAGGATTCTTCTATAGAATTTTTGATAAAAGGTGTACAGTAATGGTATCCTGGTACAATACTGTTCTTCCGGTCTCATGGCAAAGGAGGCAGTTGTTCCTGGAGGCAATTACTCACACATGCCACTTCCTTCTTCCTGGCTCTCCATCACCCTTTGTTGCTCCAGTGAAGAGAGAACAATTGTGCTTGGATGGCTGCTTGCAACTTTTAAGACCCTAGGAACTCTGAAATGAAGTAGGAGGTAGAATGGAAGCACTATACCCGTTAACTAAGATCTCCCATGAAACCATGACCCTAAACCTGCAAACCAAGGAACAAAATCCCATGAGGTGTCTAGTTGTACATAAGCAGGGAATGCTCTGCTTTTCGATACTGGCTTTTATACTTTTATCTAATTCTGACATGCCAGTCAGCTATTCCTTCTTATAGCTCTTGGCATGCTTCTAGCAATTACTTCTTTAAATGGCTCTGGGCTGGAAAGTTGATAACCAAGTGTGTTAGGATTGTGTATAAAGCAAGAATCCTGAGTTCTTTATTTATTTATTAAAGACATCACTTCTATTTTTAAAGTACACAAGTGTCCTGCCTTTTTAACAGCTGTGTTTGCTTCTTTCTGGGTTCTCTGCTACATTCCAGTCTATTGAGGTCATTGGATACATAAGCCCTAGACACAGAGCAGGGATAACCAAAAACCAAACCCAACCCACTGCTATTGAGTCGATTCTGACTCATAGTGACCCCCATTGGGTTTCTAAGGTGGTAAATCTTTATGGAAGTAGATTGTCCTGTCCTACTTCTGTGGAGTGGTTGATGGGTTTGAACTGGCAACTTTCTGGTTAGCAGTCAAATGCCTTAGGCACTACACCACCAGAGCTCCTTTTATGGAGTTGGCATAGTGCAGATGAATTGTTGTCTCTCAATTGTTACTGCTTTCTCTCTTGAAGAAGGAAGGGGATACCAGAAAGTGTCCTGGCTGACTCCTCCCTCAAAGGGGTGGGCTATGGGGGCTTAGGGTGGGGTCATCTGGGTCAGTGCTGTCTGAAGTTTCTGAGGAGAGGTGCAGCTGGGCCCCACTGATAGTGTGGAGGTGGCTGGAGGAGAGACCATTGCCTCTTGCCTCACTCCTGGTGGTGATGGCCAGTGGGGACAGAGGACAATCAAGGGAGCCCAAGGGCCTGGTCCCCTCCCAAGGCCTGAAGCAGGACTGGCACCAGCGGTGAGATGGGCACTTGGGGTGGAGATGGGGAGACCTCAGCTTGTAAACATCCCCATTTCATGACACGTACCACACAGCATAGCAGCACTGAGAGTGACTTGGTGATACCCCAAAACATAGATGGACACTTGTACTTGCAAGGGTATGACACCTTTCTGAAGGTGGTCAGTGATCCATGGAAATACTGACAAGATGCTCTGATCCCTTCCCTCTCTTCCACAAAGATCTCTCCCTCTCGCTCACATGCTGACATGGTGACATGTGCTGTCCACTTGTGACAAACAGATCATTTCTGAACTTGGACACAGTGAGCCCACTTTGGAAGGTGATACCCTCCCATGCTGACACTCACACATCCTCACTGATGGCGATGCCCACCCACTCCCATATGGTGAGACAGTGAGCAACTTATTCAAGGCAACTCTCCACCCACACTCATGTGAATACTGCACACATTCATACATGCTTACCCGCATGCTCACACACACACACACACACTCAAATTCTCCCTCAAGTGCACACGATGGTTACACACATGCTCACATACTCTCACATGCATGCTCTCACGTGCTCACACTCCCATACACACAATACATGACACTCACATACATGCTCACACACATCCTCACACACACTCACAAATGCTCACTCATGCACACATATGCACACTGACACATGCATGCACACACACCCATGCACACCCATATGCACTCAGACAACACTCAGACAGACAAAGCCTTGGCTTAGCCTGATTTGCCTGTAGACCCAGAAATACGGGCAGAGGGGTGCTCTGCCAGTTTTCCTGACTTTCTACCTCCCTCCCGCCAACCTTCCTTGCCATCCCTCATCCTTCCTTGGGCCTTGGATTTTGTGGGGGTGGAGTAATCCCAACACCTTCCTCCCTCCCCCAGGATTTTTGTGAACCAAAGCCTGGCACTAGGGAAGATTCGCTGCTTTGGTTTTTTATTTTTATTTTTATTTTTTTTTAGGATTTGGGTGAAGATTTACAGAGTAAATTCACTTTTCCTACAGCAGTTCACATATACTTTGTCTCCTGTCATTGACCAAAATTTACAATGCAGCAGCTCTCCTCCCACTTCCTCCCCATAGTTACCTCCTCCCAGTGTCCATCCCTTCATACTCTTCAGCACCCTGAGCTATCTCCCTGTGCATAAGCAGCCCTTCCTTCTCCCATGATTGTATACCCATGTTTGCTTTCACTGACAACTCAGTACTGTATATGCAAAAGGGTTCATATTTGTTGTCTGTACTGCCCATGTAACTCTCTATGTCTTTCTCATCCTCAATGCTGCCATATTGGTCACTCACATTTGGTACATTGCCCTTCTCTTCACCCAAATCAATATTTATCTCTATCTATCTAACAGCATTCCCTCCCCTCCCCTCCCACCCCTGGTAACCAACAAAGAAAATGTCCTCCAATATATAAACCTTTCCTTAACTTTTACAATAACGGACTAATACAATATTTGTCCTTTTGTGACTGACTTATTTCACTCAGCATAATGTCCTCCAAGTTCATCCACGTTATGCGGTGTTTTGCAGATTCTACATTATTCTTTAGCGTTGCATAGTATTCCATTGTGTGAATGTACCAAAGTTTGGTTATCCATTCCTCAGTTGATGGACATCTAGGTTGTTTCCAAGTTTTAGCTATTGTAAATAGTGCTGAGATGAACATCGGCGTGCATATATCTGTTCTTGTTATGGCTCTCACTTCTTTAGGGTATATACCTAGTAATGGGATGGCTGGGTCAAATGGTATTTGTATTTCCAACTTTTTAAGGAATCGCCATACTGCTTTCCACAATGGTTGTACCATTTTACAGTTCCACCAGCAGTGTATGAGAGTCCCAATCTCTCCACAACCTCGCCAGCATTTGTTATTTTCTGTCTTGTTGAACTTTGATACCAGTGCTGGAGCAAGATGGTATCTCATTGTTGTTTTGATTTGCATCTCTCTAATTCGCTGCTTTGGTTTTGACATGGACTACACTCTGGCTGGTAGAGAGGACAGGACTGCAGGGCATTTGGAGGCTGTGGGGACAGGAGTCCCAGCTGAGCCTCCATGTGCCTGGGCCTCCCTGCAGCCTACAAGTCCCCGGCCTATGAGGTACTAGCCTTTGAGCTGCTGCTGGAACACCTGGTGTGCATTGGGTACACATGAGATCCTGCGCTACACTTACGACCCTACCTTTCCCACCAGGTGCGGGGCTTGGGCTGGAGATGGAGGGGCTGTCACAGGTCCTGAGCACCCGATCCCCCATTTGTAGCCTCTGTGCTCTCTTACCAGGGGCCTGGTGTTCGATGCACTCTACAGGAACCTGCTGAAGGTGGATGCTCACGGGAATGTGCTGCTGGGCATCCACGGCTTCACCCTCTTATCTGAGTAAGCGGCAAGGGGTGTGGTGGGGGAGGATGAAGCAAGGAGGTGGGAGAGGATGGATAGAGAGAGGGAGGGAGGAATGACTTGAGCTCATAGCATGAATGAAGAAGGGAAAAAAGGGACGAGGGGGGGGAGGCAGCATGGAAAAGCCAGGGCCTGGGGCCTCTAGAAGGCCTGGGAAGGGTGGTACTGCACGCAGCCCACTCCTCCTCAGGGCCGAGATCTGGAGCTTCTACCCCAGTGAGTTCATTCAGAGGGACGACCTGCAGAGGTTCCACATCCTCAACACACTCTTCAACCTGCCTGGTGAGGGGTGGATGGGGAGGTGGGGTAAGGGATCCTCAGGGCTCCACCTTTGGCCTCAGGTGCTGCTGCCTGGTCCTCAGGGCCAGCAACTGACCGACATCTCTGCCTCAGAAACCTACCTGTATGCCTGCCTGGTGGACTTCTCCAGCTGCTCCCGCTATACCAAGTGTGTCCCCGCTCCCTGCCAGCCCTGGGTGAACAATGCTGGGTGACACTGCAGCTGTCCAGGGGCCAAAGTCAGAGTGGGAGCCTCACCTAGAGGCAGAGTTTCCTCCTGTGGGGTTTGAGGGGCTCTCAGAGTGCAGGGAAAAGTCTTCCACTGCAGAGTGCCACCTTGACCAGGAAACCAGTGCTGCCCCCAAGGGGTGATCCTTGGCACAGTGTGGCACCCTTCCCAGAATGGCTGTGACATTAGCCCCAGTGTAGGCCCCAGTGTGGCTGGTGGCATCACCCTGGTCCCCTTGTTGGTCTCCCTGTGCCCTCTCCGTTCTCCCCAGCTGCGACACTGGCTATCAGCATGGGAACCTCTTCGTGTCCTTCCGAAGCCTCTTCCAGGATGTGACCGATGCCATGAATAATGTCCATGAGTCGGTGAGTGGACCATGGCTCCACGACCTGTAACCTGCTTGTCCTTGGCTCTCCTGGGCCAACACGCAGGTCACCAGCCCCTACGAAAAGGGTATCTTCTGATCTCCTTCAACCTCACAAGGGAGAAACAGAATCACCGTCAACAGCCCAAGGCTTATTCCTGTGAGACTAGACACGTCCACCCTCCAGCCTTTTTACTATTTCTGACACCAACTGACCCTCCCACAGCACTCACTACTTCTCTGCTGGGTTCAATAATTCGTTGCAAAGGCCACACAGAACTCACAGACAATACTCACTATTATAGGGTTTATTAGGGAAGTAACAGGCTGTAAGTCAGGTTCAGGAAAGCCTTCAGGATAGAGTTCTTCATTCAGGACAGTCTCCCCTCTGCTATGCCCTCAGGTACACCTCTCTGGTCCTTGGCTTCTCAGCCTGGCCTCTGCCCTGTTCAGGCCAGCATTACAAAGCTCTTTTAGCTCTGCCCATAGGTACACTTACATGCGTCCCACTTCACCAGCAAGCTTCCTGTCCAAGGGCACTCAGCTTTCTTGCTCCGTGGGCTGGCAGGGTTGCCACTCTGTCTCATACCTCTTGGTTCCACTGCTGCCATCTCTCAGTTGGGCATCTCTGCCCAGGTGTCTCCACCAGGGAGGTCCAATGCAGGGATCTTGGGTCCAAGGATGTGCTCCATTTCTACCTCTAGCTCTTCTCTCTCGATGGCAGTGAGATCCTCCTTCCCACTTCTAGGAATGCTCATTGTAAGCCCGGTAGAGTGACAAAACTAACCAGTCCCAACACCAGAGTGCCGTATACCTTGTTTTCATGGTCCCACCCTGTCCCATCCCGCGGGACAGTCAACCTAGGACCTGGAGGAGGGGGTGGAAATGGAGGGGACAAGAGACGCGAAGAATGGAGACAAGTCGAAAGCCCGATCAAGTCTCGTTTATTGAATTTCAAACAAATACTTATATATGGTAAAGGAAAGGGGCAGGATCAAGGAATGGGGTGATGTGACGTTGCTGCTGACGGTGAAATAGGGAAACCTATAAAAAATAGATACGTGGCAAGAGGCGGGTAAATTTAAAAGTGCTGAATCACTTCTATACAGAAGTGAAGGCTCAAGACAGGTCTTGAAACTCAAACTTAGGTCTGAAGATGTCCAACAGGCCCAAAACAAAGAAGGGATGTATTGTGACCTTGTTAAGATGAATAGAATGCCGTGGTGCGGCTCTCCACACCACCCAGTAATCTGGTGGGAGTCACAAAGATCATGGCTAGAAAAGACACACCAAGTAATTCACTGTGCCACTGTCCCCTTAGAATTTCCATCCCTCTTCCTACTGAGTAGTTTGATGGTCTTGGTTCCCCAGTGCCATTCCTGCCATCCTGGACACACACACACACACACACACACACACACACACACACCTATGCTCCCTCCTGCAGGGCTGTCTCAAGGAGAAGACCCTGGAGGACTTGGATAAATACGTGGAGAAGGATGTGAGTGATGGCAGACCCAAGGTCATGATTAGGCTCTGCCCCTTTCTCCCTTGGACTCCTTTCTCAAGGCTTAGACAGAGGCCTGGGGCCCACCTTCTCTGAGAGGTTGAGGCCTAGGTGGGCTCCCAGGGCAGCTGTGGGAGGCTTACCCTTGGAAGTCACTCTGTTGTTTCCCAGGTGTGAATCCCCATCCTGCTGGGCAAGATGAAGGAGGTTGGGAAAGTGTTTCTGGCCACCAACAGTGGCTACAACTACACTGATGTGAGTGTGTGTGTAGAGAGGGAGGGGACCCTGAGCCTCTGAGCCCAGAGAACTGCTTCCTTCCTGACCCCAGGGGAAAAAGGGACCCTGTAGGAAACAGTGACAGGGTAGCAAAGAGTCAAGACCCTCCTACCCTCATCACCTGTCATCTTGGTTTTGATTTCTTGGCCTTTTAAAGTCTTAGCAGAATGAACAACTTTTCCACCTTCATATCCCGTGGTAGCTTATCTGCCCTGAGGGAAATAATTGGGTGAGAGGCAGAAGTGGGCAGTGGCCCCTGGCCCAGTCCAGGCCCGGTGCCCTGACCCCTGTCCTGTCCCTGCCAGGCCATTATGACCTACCTGTTTGGCATTGGTGAGGTGAGTGTCACATGCCCGTGTGTGTGGGGGAGCAGCATGGCAGCCCCACTGTGCTAAGGGCAGGGAGGGCCAGACCACACTGTGGTGCTGTGGGCTGCAGTGGGTCAGGGTATGTCTTTCTGTTCTGGCCTCTTCTATCATTTCACATGTGTGGGGAGCTCTGGTGGCGTAGTGCCTAAGGCATTTGACTGCTAACCAGAAGGCTGGCGGTTCAAAGCCACCAGCCACTCCTCGGAAGGAAGATTGGGTGATCTACTTCTATAGAGATACTGCCTTGGAAAGCCAGAGAGGGGTCCCTATGAGTTGAAACCGACTCAATGGCAGTGAGTTTGTTTTTTGGTTATTTTGTCCTCACTGAAACCTCCCCATATGGGGCAGCTGCCTGCATGGGTGGCCCAGAGTGACCACTCCCTCAGCCGGGGCATGGAAGGAGCCTGGGTGTGGAGGGGGTAGAAATGACCACTTATGGCCTCAAATAAAACCATAAAGTAGCAAGCAGACATTTGGGGAGGAGTTGGGAGAGGGTGGAAAGGGGGTGAGAGGAGGAAAGGATGGGGCAGCCTAGGCCCAGAGAGCTCAGTGTGTCATGCACAATGGCTTTGGGTGTGACCAGGAGCCACTGGGCATGTGAGCAGGACTTGAACTTGGTGATTGCTCATGTCACTGTGTACCTGGGGCCCACTGACTATGCACCAGTGAGTGGCTCTGGAAGCTGACATAAGGCACACACAATATCCAACACAGACCTCCACAAACACATTTCTAGCACATTCGTGTACGATTCGTGTACAACCAAGCAATTAGCTTGGTTGGTGGGGTTTGGGGAATGAGACCCACTGGTTTCTGGGCCTGGGATGTCTCATCCATCTGGCAGCAGGACCAGGGCACATGGATGACACAAGGTCTGGCAAGTTTTCATTGAGCTGGATGGAGCTAGGGCTGGTGGCTTAGCCAGAGGAGACAGGGTGGGGAGGTGGCTGTGGTGGGGTGACTGGGCTGAGGCCATGTCAGCTTGCTGCAGGGTCAGATCTTCCAGGCTGAGTGTGCATGTGCCTTGTGTGTCTGTACAACCTCCTGCACCCTTGCTCCACAGGTGGGGGCCCCAGCCAGGCCCTGGAGGTCCTAATTTGACCTGATTATAGTGGACACACAGAAGCCCCGATTCTTTGCAGAGGGAACGGTACTGAGGCAGGTCAACACGGTAATGGCAGGTGCTGAGGCCTGGTCCACTTTCACCCCAGGGCTGCGGTGCGGGGAGAGGAGCCTGCTCTGGGAGACTGGGTCTGTTTCTTCAACTTGACCTGCTCTTGGTGGCTGCCTGCTCTGCTGCTCTGTCTGTCCCTGGAGTCAGGGGATGAAGGGGACTCCTTCAGGTCCTCTGCCACCTCTTCCCTTCCACACACCCATGATTACCTTTGCTGCACCCAGCACCCAGCTTCTATCACCAGGGATAGAAGATAAGGTTCTCCTGACTCCAGGGCACCTCTCTACCCCCTCAGGACTCAGGGAAGCTCCATGTGGGCACCTACACCGGGCCTCACCAGCACTGTGCTGTCTACTCTGGAGGTACCCACTCCCAACCCACTGCACCTGGTGCACTAGGAATCCAGGTCTCTGACCTGCCCAGCCAGGAGAAGGAGGGGCTGTGAGCATGCTTCTCTCCTCTCACGGTGAGGCAGGCTCTTCAGACGTGGTGTGTGAGCTGCTCGGGGTGCAGGGAAAGGACATCTTGTACATTGGGGACCACATCTTTGGTGACATCCTCAAATCCAAGAAGCAGCAGGGCTGGTGGACTTGTCTGGTGGTTCCTGAGCTGTCTCGGGAGCTGGGCATCTGGGCCCGGGAGAAAGGTGAGCTGTAGGGGTCAGGAACAGGTAGAGGAACATTGCCACCAGTGCAGAACCCTGCCCCATTGTCACTTTTCCTCTTTTCCCAGTGGGGGATAATAATGACTATGCTAATCTTGTCTACTCCGTGGTTTATGAAACACTGTTACCCCAGAGGGAGGATCTCTTTTATACTCAAATAGAAGCAGACTCAGAGAGGTTCAGTGACTTGCCCAAAGTCACACAGGCATTAGGGACAAAGCTGGGACTCAAATTCTAGTTTCCTGACTTCAGAGTCCTGTACTGGTTCAGTGCACTGGGCAAACTCCAGAGGAGCCTCCTTCCTCACCTTACCCCACCCACCTCACTCATTCTGAGGTACAAAGTCCCTGACCCAGGAATGACGAAGTAATTCTCAGGGTCTGTGGTTATTGTAAGCCCAGCAGTTCAGGCTTTGTTCTAACAGCTGCATTTGAGTCATTGCTGTGTGACCTTTGAAAGGTCACTTGAGTCCCTGCATGGCTTCCTCCCCTGCTCTAAGGGTCCTACACTGTCCCTGTTTCACATGGGCTCAGGTAGGCCTAGGGCTGACTAAGGTGGGCAGGCCAGTGGGTGACCCAGCTGTCCCTCCCTCCCCTGTGCCCTGTGCGTTTTTTCAGACCGGTTGGAGGAGTTGCAGAGGCTGGACATGCGCCTGGCTGACCTGTACCAGTGAGAGCCCTGATCCCTGCCTGGGGAGGGGAGGGATGGAGGGGTGGGCCTCCTCTATGCCTGTCACTGAGAGCCTGGCCAAGGTTGTCAGGATATCACAAAGATCTGTTTCAGGGTGGGCTTTCCAAGTCCAGTTTACACCCCCAGCCTGTGCTGGGATCAGGCCAGCACCCCACTGGAAGCCATGAAGTGCCCCCCTGCCATGGGATCTTGAGAGGCTATGCCTGGTGCTTGGAGGCCTGGCTTCTCTTTTCCTGGGTCATGTGGCCATTTTTGTACCAGGCACATGGATGGGAGCGTTGTGGACTACAAGTCATCAACTCTACCAAGAGGGAGATTCAGGTAAGAGCCAGGTGGTGAGTGAGGAGGGGACAGGATCAGCAGTGGGCCTGCCTAGACTTACCTTGGTCCTGTTGTTGTTGTTGTTATGTGCCATCGAGTTGGCCCTGACTCATAGCGACCCCTCCTTGGGCCTAGGTCCTTCTTAAACTGATTTTCCCCAACCTGGCTGGGCTCTACCTGTTCTTGTCAGCCAGCGCCCCCTGCTGGCCTGAGTTCCACATGACAGCAGTATGCTTGCAAGGAGGTTTTGCCTGTGGGGTGATTTGTGGGCATGGCACCTGCCCCACAATGCCCCCTAGTAAGTCTTCTTGAGAAGTGACTGCCTGCCCAGTTGGGTCCTCCTGTAATCAACCAGCAATCTATGATCAGTATTGGGGTTCAGCCTTCTGGCTGGAGAGTGAGCTTGAGATTCTAAGGGGTCTGAGAAGATAAGATTTCAACCCACTGAGCTGATACCCAAGCAAACCCAACCCACTGAGGTTGAGATGATTCCCAACTGACAGCAACCCCATAGGACAGGGTAAAATGCTCCATAGGGTTTTCAACTGTACATCTTTATGGAAGCCGACTGCCTCCTCTTTGTTCCATGGAGAGACTGGTGGGTTTGAATTGTTGATTGTTTGGTTAGCAGCTGAGTGCTCTAACCACTGTGCCACCAGGGCTCCAGTGAGCTGATGGGTCGTGGGAAGAGAAGAAAGAAAAAAAAAAATCCCTTGGGCATTACTGACAAGCCACTAAAGTTGCGAGATTCCCACAGGCTGGATCAAAGGGCTTCAGGCTACTTGGCATTGCAGGCCCAGCTGGGACCCATCATGGGGGATCTTTGCAGAGCTCCTTGCAGGTTATGAAGCTCTTGCATAGTCATGTGACTCTCTGGACAGCTCTGTGAGATGGGCTGTGCAGCAGTTGTCACCCTTGTTTTACAGATGGTGAAACTGATGCTCAGAGGGGGGGAACAGCATGCCCTTGGTCACTCTGGAGTAAATGTCCTGACTAGTTCTCCAGGCTCTGAAAAGTGGGCCTGGTGGTGGGGTAGAGCCTGCTAGTGAGGCAGGAGAAGGGCTGGATGTGGGCCTTTGTTAAGCCGTCGTGGGGAGAGAAGGCAAGTGACACTGAGGGCTGAGAGCCAGTGCTCACTCTCCATGACCAGGCAGGTAGCTGGGTAGGAAGCTAGGGAATGGGGCCTATAGCAAATAGCCATTCCACATCCAAAAGCAGGTATGTGCAGTGTCTGTGCTTAGAAAACCCAGCTCCTTCCCTACAATTGGGAGCTCTGGTGGCATAGTGCCTAAGGCATTTGACTGCTAACCAGAAGGCTAGCAGTTCGAACCCACCAGCCACTCCTCGGAAGGAAGATTGGGCAAGCTACTTCCGTAGAGATACTGCCTTGGAAACTCAAGGAGGGGTCACTATGAGTAGGAACGGACTCGAGGGCAGTGAGTTTGGTTTTTGGTTTTTCCTACAATTGGGCTAAAGCTTCAGTGTCCTCAGGTGACAGAGACCCAGGGAGGGTCATTCAGGGATGGAGTAGGTGAGGGCTGAACTGGGTGTGACCCCAGCAGGATGGCCTAGCTCTCATGGTGGGTGGTGAGTACCGTGGGGGGTATAGGTGCTGGGTAGGGTGGGGTATCCACTCAGCATGCTTCCCACCTGTCCAGAGGGTCACCCGGGAGCTGGACCTGTGCTACAGCACCACGGGGAGCCTGTTCCGCTGCGGCTTCTGCCAGACGCTCTTCGCCAGCCAGCTGATGCGCTACGCTGACCTCTACACTGCCACCTGTCTCAACTTCCTGTACTACTCACTTGGCTCACTGTTTCGGGCGGCCCCGGAGCTGGTGGGTCCCTGCAGAACCTTCTGGGCCATCCTTACTCTCCACCCGAAGGACCTTCTGGTCCCCAGACCTGCCAGGAGCTTGTTGTGAGGTCACCAGATCCAAACTCCTCTCTCCAGACACAGTAGTTCAAAGTCTTGTAGATAAGTCTTAAGTCTTAGGTAGATAAGATTAAGTCTTCACCTTTAAAAAAAAAAAAAATGACACAAGATAAGGGAGTATAGATAAGATAACCTCTGCTGGGGAAGCTCTTCCTCAGACCCATTCTTAACACCTGCTTGAAATCAAGACCATGTTATCTCATTTTTATGTCTTCAGGTAGCAATGATACTGGTGGTTCAGTGGTAGAACCTTCATTGAGTTCCACGGGAGACCTGGTTTGATTCCGGCCAGTGCACCTCATGGACAGCTACCACCCATCTTCCAGTGCAAACTTGAGTGTTGCTATGATGCTGAACAGGTTTCAGTAGAGCTTCCAGACTAAAATGGACTAGGAATGTGTTCAGCCAGTGAACACCTTGTGAATCACAACAGCCTGATCAGCAACTGATCATGGGGATGGTGCAGGACTGGGAGCACTTTGTTCATTGGGCATGAGGTCACCATGAGTTGAAGGCTGACTTGATGACAGGTCACAACTGTAACAGCAACAAGAAGAAATTATACCAGTTGCAAGAAGGAAGGCTACAGTCTTTCTGCCTTCAGTAAACATACAGTGACTTCAAAGGAGGTGAAGGAAGCAGCAGATGATACAGTAAACACTCCAGCTGGTCTTCCTCTGGCTGTGATCCTTGGTTAAGAGTAAGAGCAAGGAAGTGGAGGTGGTACGGGGTGGGTTAGGAGGAGCTGTGGCACTGAGCAGTGTAGACCTCCCATGCAGGGTTTTCAATGGTTGACATACCAGTTCTCCCAATGAAGCATCATTTTGCTTTCCTCTGATAGCATAGTGCCTAAAGGCACTTGACTGCTAACCAGAAGTCTGGTGGTTCAAACCCACCAGCCACTCCTTGGAAGGAAGATTGGGCAATCTACTTCTGTAGTGATACTGCCTCAGAAACCCAAGGAGGGGTCGCTATGAGTTGGATCTGACTCCATGGCAGTGAGTTTGGTTTGTTTTTCAGAGTCTAAATTAAGGATCTGGACTTGAAACTAGGTCTTCATGGCTTCTTCCCCCCTGCTTTCCCTGTTACCTTCATCTGCCTTCTAGATGTTCAAAAGGGGCAAAACCATTTATTGAGTGTCTGCTGTGGTCTAGCTCTTGGTTGGTCTGGGTGCTTTTCACTGATTATATATACTTAATGCTCAAAATAACCTGCCAAAGCAACAACAAACCCAAACCAGTTGCTGTTGAGCTGACACCGACTCACAATGAACTCAACATGTGTGTTAGAGTAGAACTGTGCTTCAAAGGTTTTTCAATGGCTGATTGTTTTTGGAAGTAGATTACCAGGCCTTTTTTCTGAGGCATCTTAGGTGGACTCACACTCCCAACCTTTTGGTTAGCAGCCAAGAAAGTTGGATTTTATTGTCTTCCTTTTACCATTGACAAAATGGAAGTGCAGTGAATTTAACCCTTTCAAGACCAAATTATTTTTTGCTTTGAATTTTTTGTCAAAACCATGTGTTTTCAGTAACAGAAGGCATTTGGAATGAAATGAAAAAATTGTTTTTGAGGTAATACAGATTTTGATGTAATTAAACTCTAAAAACCAAACTCACTGTTCTTGAGTTGGTTTGGGCTCATAGTGACCCTTCCTTGGGTTTCCAAGGCAGTATTGTACAGAAGTAGATTGCCCAGTTTTCCTTCCAAGGAGTGGCTAGTGGGTTTGAACCACCAACCTTCTGCTTAGCAGTCAAATGCCTTAGGTACTACGCCACCAGAGCTCCTTTGATAGAATAAGTGGAACACATATGTTCTGAGTGTTCTCAGTGCTGTGTAGGTTTGGTGGGATGAGTCCCCTTTCTTCAGATTCATGCAGTTGTACAGCCCCCCCGCCAGATGGCAGCATGCACTAAAAGTGGGATAAGAGTTTCCCACCAGATCCCAGTGGCAGAAAAGATAGGTGGATACTATATTTACCACGGACAAGGAAAGGGTTAAGTAACTTGCTATTACACTGCTAATAGACTGCAGAGCTGGGATTGGAATCCAGGGCTACTGAACTCCAGGGGATTAGCTCTGTTCCCAGCACTGAACTGCCACACACTCAGGGGAACTGAGGACTCACTGTGCAGCCCCATCTCATCTCTGGGCTTTTAGATGGGCAAGGCTGGAGAGTTCCAGCCAGACTGGGGTCAGAGTTAACATAATCACAGGTGATGTTAGACGTCATTGCTAAAATAGAGACCAGGTAGGTGCAGAAAAAACACCCTCAAGCTACAGGTGAAGCCTTGAAAGAAATCTGACTTTTGCTTAACTGTGCTGGCCTGCGAGTTTTGGGGAAACCAAGTCCACCTGCCTGAACCTTCTTTCCCCTGATGACCCTTTTGGGTGGGTTCCCTCTTCTGCAGAATCCTTGGACAGGAACCTGGGAGCTTGAGGGTGAGGAGGTTTCAGCATAACAGGTATCCCCGAAGCCCTGACCACTGATGGAGAAACCTCATCTCCTTTTGCCTTTGTCCCCGCAGATGCCGCATGAATCACTTGTGGAGCAAGACCAGGACAATCTGGAGTCCACCTTCAGCCTTCTTTCCAGGGCAGCCAGAGGGTGAGTTGCAGGGAGGTGGTGGTTCTATTCCTGCCGCTGGGTGGAGCTCTCACACTGCAGCCCAGGAGCTCGCAGCTTGGGACTGTCTTGGGCCAAAACAGTGGTTCCTAATGGGGAAGTAGGAGCTCTGGTAGCGTAGTGCCTAAGGCACTTGACTGCTAACCAGAAGGCTGGCGGTTCAAATCCACCAGCCACTCCTTGGAAGGAAGGTTGGGCAATCTACTTTCATAGTGATACTGCCACTGTGAGTTGGGTCCGACTTGATGGCACATAACAATAACAACAACAATGGGGAGGTATCAACCCTAGGGGGTGTTTTGGGGAATTATGGGACTTTATTTTGTCTTTAAATGTGGCCATCTGAGTATTTGCATAGAAATAGATATTATTTTATTGGCCTTGCATGGTGCAAACAGTACTGGACTACTAACTGGAAGTTTGGAGATTCACATTCATCCAGAGCCACCTCAGAAATTGGCCTTGGTGACCTGCTTCCAAAAGTTCCCCCCAAAACCAAAAAACTCATTGCTGTTGAGTCACTTCCTACTCATAGTGACAGAGTAAAACTATCCCAAAAGGGTTCAGAAACCCAAGAAGGAGTCGCTATGAGTCAGAACCGACTGGACTGCTGTGAGTTATTATTATTATTTTTTAAAGGGTTTCCAAGGCTGTAATCTTTATGCACTTAGGCTGCCACATCTTTCTCCCAAGGACTGCTAGTGGGCTGGTGGGTTTGAATCACGGACCTTGTGGCTTGAAGCATATGTAGTGCTTTAACCACTGCACCACCAGGGAAAGCCTTGAAAACCCTATGGAACAGTTTAATTTTGTAACACATGGAGTTGCCATGAGTTAGAACTGACTTGAGGTCAACTGGTTTGGTTGATTTCTTTTTATGTTGTATTTAGGGCATAATATGGATTTAAAAATGATTGTGGCACTAATTGATCTATACCTATTCAATTCAGCATAGAAAGGGAAAAATTAAAATATTTGCTTTGAAAATGGGTCTTTGGGTCTTACAGGGCCAAGAACCACTGGATGTAAGAGCCCAGACTCACGGATTCTCACGTAGGGCCTGACTAGCTGAGTCTGTGCCCTGCACGCTGTTGGCTGATCCATATTACAGCTCACCTTCATCCCAGGAGTAGCTGCAGTAGCTCCCTTGTTGAGGCCAAGGCTCCTTCTCCAACAGCCTTTATGTTATAAAGGCCCCAGTGAGTAGGGGCCCCTACTCCAGACCCCTCTGACAAACACTTAGTGCTGCCTGAATCCTCTTGAGCTGAGTCTCCAGCTTTATGGGTGCAGCTTTATGGGTGCAGCCTGGACTTCCAGCCTGGACCTGCATCTCCAAATCCTGCATGAGATTTCCTGTTTCTACCTCAGCTTTCCTGGGACTGGCTTTTGAACATGTTCATTTCATAAGTTTCGTTTAGTTGGGTGGTACCGGTGTGTAGACTTTCAACCTGGGTTTATAGAGTGCTTCTTATATATAAAGAATATATAACAACAATAAAGAAACTGAATCATCAGCTATTTTATTTACTCTTGCTTAGGTAGAGCTCAACATTCAAGCACATTCATTATCTTTAGTAAGTAGTTGCCAACTAGTCTCCCATCTCAACTCACCAGAGAGCTAGACACACTCTCCTGTAGTTGTGGTTCTCAGGGATGTGTGTGGTTTGACTCCCTCCCCTTTCCTTCATCCTCATCCAACCTCAGCCTGGGGCATCTTGACACATTATCTACCCCTGGTTGGGCATCGCTGGGTAAGCTTGGGAAGAGAGTTAACAGCTGTCTTCATTTCTTGAAGGCTGAGGGCAAAGAGAGGGCTGAGGACCAGGAGGGCTACATGAGGCTGACTGAACCTGGCTGTGGGCCAGCACCACAGGTCATCTTCCAGTTGAGATATATTTCAAATAAAAAGTTGAAATCTCTTAAATGTAACAGATATGGAGTCTAAGAACATTTCTTTTAGGGAAAAGGAAGGGCTATTGCTTTCATTCTAGAAAGCACCCCCATGGCCTTTGAAATGTGTGTTGTCAAGTGGAATTATTTTACCTAGTTCCCATAAGCTGCATTCTGTTTCACATCCAGTTTTACATCTAGACATTTCTTTTTAAAAATCGTACTTTGGTGTGTGTTTGATTCTATTACCAGTAACAACAATAGATCACTATGAAAGGCATAAAATGAAATAGCCCCAAAATCTTTGAACTTGATGTATAAATGCATCACCTCCCACCCCCCTCTCCAAAAAACCCCACTGCCATCGAGTCGATTCTGACTCACAGTGACCCCCATTGAGTTTCTTAGGCGATAAATATTTATGGAAATAGATTGCCTCATCTTCCTTCCATGGAGCGGCTGGTGGGTTTGAACTGCCATCCTTCCGGTTAGCAGTCACATGCCTCAGGCACTGTGCCACGAGAGTTCCTTCATAAATGCATTAAAACATGAAAAAGTCATGCTCATGATGTAAAAACTCAAATCTTCATTTTGGTAGGAGCTTCTCTGTGATATTAAAGCCCTGACTCTTCCTTGTTCTGATGTCCCTGATTTTAATCCACTTTGATAGTTCACTTTTTGTTTGTTAGTGGTATCATCTGGCATTATATGGAGACTTAGAACGAATATAGGTCCCTGGGTGGCACAAATGGTTTGTGTTTGCCTACTAACCTAAAGGTTGGTTGTGCAAACTCACCCAGCAGCTCCATGAAAGAATGGCTTAGAGATCTGCTTCCATAAAAGCTTATGGAGAAGCTCTACTCTGTAACACATGGGGTTGCTGTGAGTCGAAATCGACTTGATGGCAGTGGGTTTTTTTTTTTTGTTTATTTGTTTATGTGATGTTTATATTTGTGTGTCAACTTGGCTGGGCAACTTGGCTGGGCCTGGTTGAGTGGCTGGGCAGCTGGTGGTAGTTATTCCCCGTGATGAGACTGGCAATCAACTCCACGGTGGGATCTACCACAAGCAGCTGAGTAGCTGCCTTTGGGATGTGGTCTGCTTCCTGTATATAAGGAGAAGCTTTGAGAATGGTCTCTAGCCTGTGACACACTTGGACCCTGCACGTAGCCATGTTGTTCCTCAGTAGCCTGCTGTGCTCTGCCCTCCTTGGAACTTACAATGGATCTAAGTTCATGGCCTGCCGTGTGGTGTGGTAACATCAGGACTGTGCCTTTTTACTTGTCAACCTTGGGGCTTCTCAGCCTCAGCAGCCAGCAGCTGTCAGAGTGAAGAAAAGCCTCTAGCTCCAGTGGGCCAGGAGCAGGAGGCAGAACTGAAGCCCAAGATTGAAGGGCTTTCACCCAGCCCCTAAAGCCTGGCACTTTGAACTTGGACTTAAAGCCTTCAAATTGTAAGAATAGACTCCTGTTTGTTAAGGCCATCCCATTTGTGGTATATTTCTTGTCAGAGTGGAACTAGGGAACCAGAACAATTTAGAATGAATATATATACACGTTTGAAATGATGAAGCAAAACCTTGAAAGAATATGTCTGGTAACACAATTCACTAACTTTGTTTTCTGTGGCTAAACAATTGAAACATTTGCAATATCTGAGGATGATTAAGGAACAAGAGGCCACATGTTCAGAGTCCATAGTCACCTTCTATACCCCCTGTACATTTCAGAAATTTCCAGGCCCCAGCGTCTGCAGGAGCAGGTTCTCTGGGCAAAGACCCGGTATCCTTTTGTCTTTAATAGATATCCCTAGTGTCTTTAAACACTAGATTCTTATTCAAGGGCTTGTTGTTAGTTGCCATTGAGTTGGCTCTGACTCATGGCAACCTAGTGAATAATACAGAATAAAATGTTGCCTGATCCTACATAATCTTCATGGTTGTTGACATGTTTGGGCTAATGTTCTAGCACTAATTGTACATTGTTCTGTTGTGATCCATAAGGTTTTCATTGTCTGATTTTCAGAAGTAGACCACCAGGCCTTTCTTCCTGGTCTGTCTTAGTCTGAAAGCCCTGCTGAAACTTGTCCACCATGGGTGACCCTGCTGATATTTGAAATACTGGTGCCATCACTTCCAACATCATAGCAACACACAAGCGTTCGCAAGGGCTGGATGATAGTATTTAATCAGGAAAACTTCTCAAACCCTAGGGCCCATGATTTTCTGGAGAAGTCCGGAAATACAGCATAGTTGTCAGTACTATAATAATCATCCCTTAAAATTCCTACCTAAGGAGGAGAGAATGTAGAAAGGGACTGAGTGATAAACAGCCCAAGGCGTCAGAGAAGATAAAAAATGCCGAGAGAGATGCCGAGGGAGAGAGAAAGCGGTACATGCAAAAAGGAGGGAAGAGGTGGCCAAAGGGCTTTCCTATGCTTTTCTTTTGCCTAGAGGATTCCCCTGCCCATCTCCCCTGGTTAACGCCTGGTTCCCTCAGACCTCAGGAGGCCTCCTCATCTCCCTCTTCTCTTTCCCCTGTGCTTGGTACTTCTCTTTCTTATGACTTTCAAATGCATGATTCTTTGATCACATGTCTCCTCACCAGACTCTTAGCTCCATACGTCCAGGAACCAAGCCATTTTGCCTCACCATTGTGTCTCTGGCATCTATGTGTCCTGCATTTTATTTTGAATGAGCCATGTCACACAGATGATTATTACCCTGGGTCTGCTTGTAGAATGGCAGGGGAAGGAATGTGGCAAAGGCTACACTGTGAGAAAAGAAAATGGAGAAAAAAGAGCTGTGCATTAGAACTGTCCTAAACTCTCTGGGAGTTGGCTGGGCAGTGTAGGGGAGATAGATGCTTCTACTTGAGGGCTGCTCATTTGATGCCATCTTTTTTTTTTTTTTTTTTTTAAATCTGATGTTACTTCTATGCTCCAGTTTTTCTATACCTTGGTATTCCATTTCTCTTGAGATTATGATACTGACAGTCACCCTTCTTTTCCAGTGGAATTTTTAGTTGGGTATGTGGCTACTGCAAAAATTTCCTAGCCTTCTCTGAAGGTGGCTGGAGACATGTGACTAAGTTCTGATCCCTCCATCCCAAGCAGAAGCAATGTGTCCAATTTCCAAGTTATGACTCTAAAAGGAGAGGGCGTGTCTCCCCCTTCCCATTGGCTGGGATGTGGAGTTGGTTGGGACCCATCTTTGGTTATGTGGATGAGGCTGCACCCCAGGAGTGGCAGAGCCACAAGATAGACGAGGCCTGGGCCTGACACAATATTAACACTGAACAGTTTTACTTAAATTGTTGATTCACCAGAGAGACACATTTTCGTTTGGGTCTAGTTATAGCTGCTGAATTGATATCTTAATTCTGGCATCTAGTCTTGACTGGTCAGGAAATGAAGAGAAGGAACAGAAGCAGTGTTCCTGGGGTAGAGCTATTGTGATACAAATGCAATCTCACCACTTTATTGGTAGTACTTTGGCTATCACAGTAAATCCTGTTTGGTAAACCGGAAACAATTCTAGTTCCCTATAATATTACAGTTTGCGTGTGTGTGTGTGGTATGTGTGTGTGTATGTGTGTACTAGTCAGGATTTCTTCATTAGCAACTGACAGAAACCTTGTTTGGCATTATCATTTCTATTGTATTGTGTTTTATTATATTGGCATTATCATTTTGTACTTCAATTTTATGAACCTCATTACTGTAACTCTGATCCTGAAAAACGGATCTGTATGAGTGCTCCCAGTCAGGCCTCTTGGGAAGCAACTGCTCAGTGTTTTCCCAGATAAGCTAGAAACTAGCTTAAGAAAAAAGGGAATGTATTTTCATGTAATAGAAAAGTACAGGAGCTAGACTGGCTCTGGCTATAGTTTTAGCCAGAGAATCTGATGATGTCACAGGACTCGTTCTCTCCAGCTCACAGAACTTATGCCCTGCTAGTGCCATTCTTGGGCAGGTCTTTTTACATGGATAAGATTTCCATCCTATGTTTTCAGCAACACTACTAGGAAGAGTCTCTTTCCAATAAAAGTCTTGGAAATGAGTCTCACTGGTTCCGGCTGAGACATGACCTCATCCTTCTGTTAATCCCTCTGGCCAGGAGATATGGGACTCTCATTGATCAAGTCTGGGTTATGTGCTCACCTCTGGATGGAGTCTGTTCTGCTTAAACTATGTAGACTGTGAGTAGGAAAGGGACAGTCTTAAAGAAATTGGGGTGCTTCTATCAAAAAAGAAGCTACATGTCCAGCAGGCAAAAACCAATGTCCTTTATAGTATGTAAAAAGGCATAGCAGAGTGTAGGCTCTTAATAAACACTAAAAAATGTGAACTATCGCTCCTCTCCTTATCTTCTGGTTCTTGGCCATTTGGCACAATGATGCCAATTCAATCTTTCATCTTCCTTTAAAACTTGCTTTACACTTAACTTCTCTAGAAGGCTTCCCTTAACAATACACTTGATTTCTGCAAAGGCTCGTATCTCTGTTACAATTTCCTATAAATCTCCCTCTTGCCCTCTGCTTTCAGGAACAGCTACTTACTAAACAAGAAAGTTACTGAGTACCGTTGAAGAGGCCGCAACCAGGGTGCAGTTTTCTGCTGTTGCTGTGGTACCCACAATCATTTCCATGTGCTGCTCTATCCTGAAGCCTCTATTTTGTTTGGTATGATTGTTCAAAGTCTTCAGTTTGTCAGTTTGAAAGTATACATTATTAAACTCCAATAGTTCAACCTTGACTATTGTTGTTAGTACTCAGGGTGGTACAGGGAGACATCCTGCAACGAATGGGTGAAAGATATTGTGGTGTTAAGTCTGTATGTCAACTTGGCTGGGCCTGGTTGAGTGGCTGGGAAGCTAAATGTAGTTATTCCCTGTGGTGAGAATGGCAATCAACTCCATGGTGGAATCTACTGGAGCAGCTGATTAGCTGCTTTGGCGATGTGGTCTGGTTCCCATATGTAAGAAACAGCTTTGGGAATGGTTTTTAGCTTATGTCACGCTTGAAACATGCATGTAGCCACATCGTTGTTCAGCAGCCTGCCATGCTCTGCTGACCTTGGGATTTTCAATGGACTTGAATTAATGGCCTGCCGTGTGGTTTGTTAACATCAAGACTGTGCCTTTTTACTTGTCAACCTTGGGCTTGTCAGCCTTAGCAGCCAGCAGCTGTCTGAGTGAAGAAAAGCCTCTGGCTCCCCTGGGCCAGGAGCAGGAGGCAGAGCTGAAGCCCAAGATTGAGGGGCTTTCAACCAGCCCATAAAGCCTGGCACTTTGAACTTGGACTTAAAGCTCCAAACTGTAAGAGAATAAACTCCTGTTTGTTCAAGTATCTCATTTGTGGTATATTCCTGTTAGAGTGGCACTAGGTAACCAGAAGAGATACACAAAGCAATAATACAGATGGCTGGTTTCCAAGGCCTGGGCTGGGAGTGGGAGGTTGGGCTGAAGGATGAATGATTCTGGAAGCCAAGAAATGGTGAATGAACAAGCGAAGGAAGACAGTGTAGGGCCAGCCACCAGGACCTAGTCAATGGACTTCAGACAGCTGGAATAAGGACATTTTAACATGGAGGGCCTTACTTTAGATTTAAATTTGGTGATTTTGAATATTTGATTCCTCTGTGTTCCCATGATCTGATTTTGTGATCTTTAAGCAACTCTCTGGGCATCATTTGGCTTTACAGGTAATTCTGTCTGAAGGGAAGGGGCTGGCTGTGTGGATTCCTGCATTTTGGTTGCAGTAATCATTCTGTTTCTTACTGAAAGCTACTTTATTGGCATTATTGTTTTATACCTCAATTTTATGAACCTCATTACTGTAACTCTGATCCTGAAAAAGGGATCTGTATGAGTGTTCCCAGGCAGGCCTCTTGGGAAATAACCTCTTGGTATTTTCCCAGACAAGCTCTTAATACTCTATGCCAATTCATCATCACTGTTTTCTACAATAAATAAGATAAACGAAGAAGCAGAAACTTTTATAGACTAACAAAAATTCATTTATTTTTTGAAGATAATACTTTTAAATATTTAAGAAAGCTAAAATAAAAAATGTGGTGGCTATGTTTTTCTGTACATTATATTTACATAAGGACTCTGACTTTACTTTGTCAAGAACAGTTGCCCAGGAGGAAGAAAAAGCAACCTATATAGTGGTCTCAGGGACTTGCATTTCCTTCTCAGGACTGGTCTCTGCAGACAGAGCAAGGAATTGAAAGGAAATGCCAAGCATACCCTCCCCATCTCTCTCCCCTACCCACTTTTGCTTTTACTTGGAGCATATCTGAATAACAAATGCAAAATTAGGTTTGGATGGTCACCCTGACCATTCTAACCAATTAGGTATGGATAGACCACCTTAATTTAGGATTTTGTTCCACTAATGAAACATGGCATAGAAAGAACAATAATTATTCCTCATCTACAGGGATACTGTAAATTTAATGCCACGTAAGAGGCATTTGTAACTTCTGAGAAAAGCTATAGGTAGGATAAAGTCATCTGTAAAATGAGAGGGTTTGACAGGATGGTCTGCCAGGTCCCATCCAGCTTGGTGAGTAACTGCAGGCTTATTTCAGAGCTTAAATCTCCCATGCTGAAAGGGCTCTCTCACTTTGCTAAGGTGAATACAGAAATTAAATTCTTATCATATCGTGGCACTAACTTTCTGATACAAAATTATGTTGGGATTAAAGTAGGTGAAAAAAGTGCAAATTTTACCATATTTATGGGGTAAATTAGTTATTAGTCAATAGCTTGAAATTTATGTATGCTGTAGAACTACAGTCTTAAACAAATAAACCAGATATTCCTGTTGGGACAGAGAATTTGAGAGTTAAGTTCAGTGAATCACTTTCAAAGCCCTGACAGTCCAAAATCTGCATCCATGATACCTCTCCATTATCCATGTTTTTCCAGGTAACTCAGACAAGGGCAGTTCTTGTCCCATGGAGGCTCTGGAACACTGGAGACATTTTTTAAGCACCAAGATATTAAGATTCAAGGATCTGAAACCCTAGTGTTACAGGCAGAGCCTCATTTTTTCGGAATATAAAACACTCTGTTTCTTCTACTTCTAATAGTTCGTCAAGGGACGCCACTACTAAATCATGCTCTTGTAGCATTTCTGGATAGCGGGACACAGCTCGTTCGATCCTCGCCGAGCGCCGTACAGGAGTGATGAGCTTCATGTCTTGCACTTCTGGCATTCCAATTAGTCTGAGAGACACAGAGAGAAGGCAAGAGATTCATTCAGAAGCTTATAATTTCTTTGGAAATACTGTTTATTATTTTTTGTTTCTTATTCTAAAATAAAACATGACAGGCATTTCATATAACATGGCAGACACATCAATGTAGGCTGATACAAGAGCTTTGTCTAGGATAGTTCTCATCCTGAGATGGCTTTTCCCTGATTCCAGAATGAACCAGGTGTCCATCTGCTACTGGTGGTGTAAGCAAAGGGATTCATGGAATGAAGCAAGGTCTTGTTTGAAGCCAACTACTTGGCAGTTAGTATTTGTTTATTCCATAAACTTTCAAAAGAGTTTACAAGTTTTGAGTAAATTGGGCCAATCACCAAATGGGCTAGACTAATGAATTCTAAGATTCTTTCTAGCTTTGACAGTAAGTTATTTAAAACGGTGGCCCAAACCACAGATTTAAGCTGGAACAAATATGGCATCGTCCTTGTACTCTTTACAAAAAAAACCGGCCTAGAAGCAAGGATGCAGAAACTTTCCCATGTGCTGGTCAGGTCTGTGAGTCATAAAACCACTGAATACAGGAGCTTAAGCAAAAGTAGCAAGCAAGTCTGCTAAAATCTCTTATAATGAATTCCAGAGCCAATAAGAGGCAGTTTTTAGGTCACATGCCTGCTTCCATTCTTACGAAAACAGAGCTGAACGTAGAGGGGAAATGATGTGTCTGGGGCAGCAGAAGGCCCAGCTGTGATTTCCAGGTAATGCAAATGCAGAATGGCAGTCCTACGGCTCCTGTTTGGAACTCTCCTTTCAAGATCAGGAACAGAGAGCAGTGATGTTACATTAACATTTAAGAAACCGATCTTGAAACCCTGAGATAGCTGCTTAAATTAGTGTGAAGTGTTCCTTAACCTTATACTTAAAAAACACCAAGATTCTGGTATTATGAGCAGTCTTTCACTATGACCTCAACTGCCCTCCCTATTATCACAGGGCTATTCACATCCCTTCTCTCTCACAGCTACAGAGGCTGCCCCTGCTGGGGACTTCTTGACCCCACCCCACCCTATGCCAGCGCTGGCAGGAAAGGTAGGCAGGATCCTCAAGTCCAGGACAAGTGGGGGTGAAGAGAGAGGGATGCCTCCAGAGGGTGCACCCATTCTGCCACCACTCCTGACTCTGGCAGCACCTTCCTCACTGCAGGTCGGGTCTCATCAGGTGGAGGGAGGATGGTGTGTGGACCATCCCCTCACTCGTAGCTCCTTCCTTGAACTTCAAAGATGAGTTAGACTACATGGCCCTCAGAAAAGGGGGAAGGTATCTAAAACTGTTGTAACTCTGGATCTGTAAAGGAGAAATGAGAACTGGGCTTGAATTAGACCTGTGAACACAACGCTTGCTTTAAGAGTTTGCTTACCTAGGGATTGGGGCGATCTGTAATTTGATGCCTGGATGATTATCCTGGCCTGCGTTGATTACTTGGGGTGTTGCTATAACCTGTTCCCTTTCTCCAGGAGAAAGACAAGACTTTTCAGATTCCATCTTCTTGATCAGCTCTTCAGCACCTAAAGAATCAGAGAGAATTCCTGTGTATAAAATGTGAAGAAGAAAGTAAGGCTTAACAATGTAATATTTAAGCTGTAAATCAATAAAATGAAAGAGTATCTAGTGATGTTCATGGACTCCACATACTAAATGAGGAATGGCTGATTGTAAGTGGGACTTATAACTAGTTTTTCTTTCTAAGACTTGTAGCAGTAGCCTGCTATGCCAGGCTAGCCCTCCTAACTAATACTTCGGACAGCCTTTAGGCCTCCTTGCCACTTGAGGAGGGATCCTTGATACCTGTGCAATACTCTGAATGCATCCCTAATCTCTATTCACTTTTGAGAGAGCTCCCTTAGTTACTGGCCTTCGATCCTTCACACTACACCTTGGACTCCCAGGCTTAACTCACTTGACCGCCTGATCTCCTCTCTCCCCAGGGACAACCACATGGCTATCACCTTGGGCAGGGGATGAAAAAAAAAAGTCTCATATTAACTCAATATTCATGATGGCCCAAGAGCAATATCCAAAATGAAAAGGAAATTAGATAGAAGCATCCAGACATTGTGGCTGGAGGCTGAGACTCAAAGAGAAGTCAAGAGGGCCAACAAGTAGTAGTAAAGGCATGACTTCTAACTCTCCTTTTTTCATCTTTTTGAAGAACACCACCATATATGATAACCAAGTATCTGCATTGTAGCACCATTTCCAGCAAGAGTCTACCATTCAGTATAACTATTCTATGACTTTATTCCCAAAAGTAATGTTACTAAGTTTTAATTCCAAATGACTTGATCGTTCCCCAAACTTAAATCTATTCTTAAAGGAAAAAGATTTATTACATTCTAACAAAATAAAAATAAGTCATCTTATTTTCTAATGGTAGCTTGTTTTTTTCCTTTTGTTTTATATAACAAATATTATAAGCAGTTATAATGTGCCACTCACTGTGTTGGGCATAATGTTTACCAAAGGAGACTCCTCTAAAGGCTCTGACCAATGACAGCACTGGTTACCTAAGTGAAGGGCCTCCAGATGGGTATTCTTAATGCGACAACATGAATTTAGATGTGTAAGTGTTGGTGTGTTTGTTATGATCATCCTACATGCAACTTTAACCCAGGCATTCCTCCATTCTGCTTCAGTGTTTTCTGAGAAAGAGCCATTTGTCTTTTCCCACCTAGAACTCCAGGGAAGCAGAACACTCTAGTTCAGTGCAAACAACCTTTATTCAGCATTGACCACTATATTTACTTGTAACAACTGAAACAAACCAGCTGATGACAACAGCTGTAAGGGCCAGGCCACAGAAATCAAGAAGTGACAGGCATTTCAAGAGACTTAAAAAAATAAATCTTTCCCTTTTTCCTTGGATGACTTTTCCTTACACAGCTTGAGGGGATAAATTTAAATATAAAAATAACAGTACCTTCTGTGGTTCTGTTTGGGTCTTGCAAAATATTAAGAATAACTTCTCGTAATTCTAGTATTGGCTAGAAGGAAGGAAGGAAAATACACAAACAATATTAAAAACACTCATAGAAAAAATGAGCTAAGAGACTTTGTTAATATCAAAGGAACTTCTTTGTCTAATAAAAATACTTTCTTATCTCATCAAGCCATAAATATTTAAAAAGTTTTTAAAAATATTTAAAAAGTTTCAGATTTATAGCTTCATGGGAAAAATGAAGGAATAGAGAAAATGATAGTTAAATGTAGGCATACGACTTTAATGAAGAGATGTATTTATGGAAAGTTGTCATTAATAAAACCTCTCTAAGGTAGCATAGTGCCTAAGGCACTTGACCGCTAACCAGAAGGCTGGCAGTTCAAACCCACCAGCCACTCCTTGGAAGGAAGATGGGGCAATCTACTTCCCTAGAGATAACCACCCCAGAAACCTAAGGAGGGGTTGCTATGAGTCGGGTCCGACTTGATGGCACATAACAAGAAGTCAAATCCTATTTTCTTAGTGATTTGCATGATCACATTGAAGATGTGCTCCCATGGAAAGATTGTGACCCAAAGATATAAAGCCAGCCATACAGAAAATGCACTTGTAGTTTTGTCTTAGTTTAATTCTTGTTTTTACTATATGTCATATAGTTCATTACAGGAAAACTGAGAAATAGATTAAACTTAAAAAAAGTTAAGTTAAAATCTACAATTTCATCACCCAGACATAACTTCTGTTAGCATTCTGGGCGACTTTCCCCAGTCTTTCCTTTCTTCTTTTGTTTGGTAATATAACAATATACCTTAACACAAAGAAAGAGACAAACAACACTTCCCTGCCCAAGAACAGCTCCTCCTGCAAAATAAATTTACTTTATAGAAAAGCAATTTTCTGATGAAATGATCTGAGATAGCCTCTCTCTTAGAAATTATGTGGCCCACACCATAAGTAACAGCATCAGGAAGGGAACTACACTTTTGTACCAGAGGAGCATTAGATTTAGAAGCTGCTTTTCCTGACCTGGAATTCTGAAACAAACAAATAATGGATATAAATTGATGATACAGCAGAAAAGCAAAGCCAGCCATACATATTTACCATAAATAAATACATAAAATAAAAGAAATGCTTTAAGCTTAATCAAATGGAAATAAATTACAGGATGTACTTACTATAAAGAGTCCTAATTATATGAAACATTTGTCAAACATATTTTACATTTTTATAGACTTCTGGATAAAGATGGTACATTGAATACCCACTTATTCCTAATCCCTCTTGAAACTCTATTGGAATGATAATAAAAGGATCGATATAAGGCAACAACACCCCAAAAGTAGAAGAAATAGCAGTAAGATATTGGAAGCTGCAATGCAGAAGGTAGAGAAGTAACCAACTTGAGAGGGTCAAAGTGGAAGCTAGCACTGTGGCTGAGAAACAATCTGATTCTCACCACACGGCCCCAGAAAGGCTCATAAATGAGTGGCGGGGCTAAAATCAGGATACTCTGAGTGTTAATTCAAAAAGCAGTCCAAATCCACCCTCCATACGTGAACTGTGCATGCCAACTCTCCTCTTCCAACTTCATCCTAACAGTAAAATGGGAATGTATTCGCCAAGTCAGTCTCTGGGGGTCATCATGCAAGTTTAGTATTCCTATCCTTTGCCTACTGAAAAGGGGATAAATGAATGTTTCCATGTTGAATGTTGAGACTCTCACTTCTCTTGTGTCCCACAACATTGGCTACCTGGTTTATACTTAGGTCCCAGAAGGAGAGAAGAGGAGCCTTGCTTGGTAAAGTGGAGGGTCAGCAAAAATGGGGAAGACTCTCAAGGAGATGGACTGACACAGTGGCTGCAACAATGGGCTCAGGTATAGGAAGTATCATGAGGTTGGCGGAAGACTGGGCAGTGTTTTGTTCTGTTGTACATAAGGCCGCTATGAGTCGGGGCCCAATCAAGGGCACCTAACAACAACATGGTAAAGATCCATCCATGTGTCCAGAGTCTTTCATAAGCTTTTTCAAAACGATCTCTTAAACATATGCAAACAGCCCAATTTCATCAGCATCTGAATAAAACCTTTAATGAATGATAGAGAACAAAAGAACAATAACATGAGCAAGAAGGAAGAGAGAAAGAGAAGAAAAACACTGAAGAAAATAGACAATTCAGGAAGAAAAAACTATCATTAATATTTTATACCTGAGCCCATAATTGCAGCCACTGTGTCAATCCATCTTGTTGAGGGCCTTACCCTTTTTCACCGACCCTCTCACCTTACCAAGCATGATAGCCTTTTCTAGGGAATGGTTCCTTCTGACAACATGACCAAAGAAAGTGACAGGAAGTCTGGCCATTCTCGCTTCCAAGGAGCAGTCCAGCTGCACTTCTTCCAGGACAGATTTGTTCATTCTTTTGGCAGTCCATGGTACTTTGAGCATTCTTCAGTATTCACAACTCAAAAGCATCAACTCTTCTTTGGTCTTCCTTATTCATTGTCCAGCTCTCACATGCATACGTAGTAATTGAAAATACCATGGCTTGGGTCAGGCACACCTTAGTCTTCAAGGAGACATCTTTGCTCTTCAGCACTCTGAAGAATTCTTTTGCAGCAGATTTGCCCAGTGCAATATGTCTGCTGCTTCCAGTGTGTTGATTGTGGAACCAAGTAAAATAAAATCTCTAACAACTTCATTTTTTTCTCCATTTATTGTGATGCTGCTTATTGGCCCAGTTGGGATATTTTCTTTTTCTTTATGTTGAGATGTAATCCATACTGCAGACTGAAGCCTTTAATCTTCATCAGTAAGTGCTTCAAGTCATCCTCACTTTCAGCAAGCAAAGTTATGTTGTCTGCATATTGCAGGTTGTTAATGAGGCTTCCTCTAATCCTGATGCTACATTCTTCTTCATATAGTCCAGCTTCTCGGATTATTTGCTCAGCATACAAGTTGAATAAGTGAAAGTATACAATTCTGACACACTCCCTTCCCTGATTTTAAACCATGCAGTATCCCTTTGTTCTGTTTCAACAACAGCCTCTCAGTCTATGTACAGGTTCCTGATGAGCACAATCAAGTGTCCTGGAATTCTCATTCTTCTCAATGTTATCCATAATTTGTTACGGTCCATCCATAATTTGTTATGATCCATCCAATCAAATGCTTTTGCATTTTCAATAAAACACAAGTAAACATCTTCTGTTATTCTTTGCTTTCAGCCAAGATCCATGTGACATCAGCAATGATATCCCTCATTCCATGTCCTCTTCTGAATCCAGCTTGCATTTCTGGAAGTTCTCTGTCAATATACTGCTGCAAATGTTTTTGAATTATCTTAAGCAAGATTTTTCTTACATGTGATATTAATGATATTGTTCCATGATTTCCACATTCTGTGGGATCACCTTTCTTTGGAATGGGTACAAATATGGATCTCTTCCAGTCAGTTGACCAGGTAGCTATCTTCCAAATTTCTTGGCATAGCCAATTAAGTGCCTCCAGTGTGGCATCTGTTTGTTGAAACATCTCAATGGGTATTTTGTCAATTCCTGAAGCCTTGTTCTTTGACAATTCCTTTAGTGAAACTCTGATGTCTTTCTTCAATACCATTGATTCTTCATCATATGCTACCTCCTGAAATGGATGAACATCAACCAATTCTTCTTGGTACAGTAACTGTGTATTCCTTCCATCTTCTTTTGATATTTCCTGCATCAGTCAATATTTTGCCCATAGAATCTTTCAATATTGCAACTCAAGGCTGGATTTTTTTCTTCAGTTCTTTCAGCTTGAAAAACTCTGAGCATGCTCTTCCCTTTTGGTTTTCTAACTTCAGGTCTTTGCACATTTCATTACAATAATTGACTTTGTCTTCTTGATCTGCTTTTTGAAATATTCTGTTCAGTTTTCTTATCTTGTTATTTCTTCCATATGCTTTAGCTACTCTCTGTTCAAGGGCAAGTTTCAGAGTCTCTTCTGACATCTATTTTCTTCCATTCCTGTCTTTTTAATGACCTTTTGCTTTCTTCATGGATGATATTCTTGATGTTATCCCAGAATTGCTGTGGTTTTTGTTCACTGGTGTTCAATGCATCAAATCTATTTTTTAGGTGGTCTCTAAATTCAGGAGGGATTTAATCAAGGTCATATTTTGGCTCTCGTGGACTTATTTCAATTATCTTCAGCTTCAATTTGACCTTGCTTATGAGCAATTGATGGTCTGTTCCACAATCAGCTCCTGGCCTTGCTTTGGCTGAAGATATTATTAACCTTCTCCATTGCCTCTTTCTACTGATGTAGTCAATCTGATTCTTGTGTATTCCATCTGGTAAAGTCCATGTGTATAGCCATCATTTGTGTTATTACAAAAAGATATTTGCAATGAATAAGTCATTGGTCTTACAAAATTCCATCATGTGATTTCCAGTGTTATTTCTATCACCAAGGCCATATTTCCAACTACCAGTGATTCTTCCTTGTTTCCAGCTTTTACCTTCCACTCACCAGTGATAGTCAACACATCTTGATTGCATGTTTGGTCAATTTCAGACTGTAGAAGTTGATAAAAACCTTCAATTTCCTCATCTCTGACTTTGATGGTTGGTACAAAAATTTGAATAATAGCAGTTCTGGTTACCTAATGCTGCTCTTGGGAGCTCTGGTAGCATAGTGCCTAAGGCACTTGACTATTAATCAGAAGGCTGGTGGTTCAAACCCACCAGCCACTCCTCGGAAGGAAGGCTGTGCAATCTACTTCCATAGTGATACCATCCTGGAAACCCAGGGAGGGGTCACTATAAGTCGGGGTCGCTATGAGTCAGGTGCGACTCGACAGCACATAACAAAAACAACAATAATGCTGCTCTGACAAGAATATATCACAAATGGGATGGCTAACAAACAGGAGTTTATTCTCGTACAATTTGGAGGTTTTAAGTCCGAGTTCCAAGTGCCAGGCTCTAGGGGCTGGGTGAAAGCCCCTTAGCCTTGGGCTTCAGCTCTGCCTCCAACTCCTGGCCTACTGAAGCTAGAGGCGTTTCTTCACTCAGACAGCTGCTGGCTGCTGAGGCTGAGAAGCCCCAAGTTGACAAATAAAATGGCACAATCCCGATGTTACCAAACCACACAGCAGGCCATTAATTCAAGTCCATTTTAAGTCCCAACGTCAGCAGAACATGGCAGCTGCTGAACAACGACAAGGCTACATGTAGGGTCCAAGCGTGCCATAAGTTAGAGACTATTCCCCAAAGCTTCTGCGTATATACAGGAAGCAGACCACGTTCCCTAAGGCAGCTACTCAGCTGCTCACAGTAGATTCCACCATGTAGTTGATTACCAGTCTCTTCATGGGGAATACTATCCAGCTGCCCAGCCATTCAATCAGGCCCAGCCAGTCAAGCTGACACACAAACTGAACTACCACAATTCCACCCCTTGTCAACTTAGCATCTGTACAGATCTTCATTTGGTGTCATCTGTAGAGATCTCTTCACTGGGTGGCTCCAGTCCCCTAGTTCCTCTAAGGGGTGACCTCACCCCCTTGGCCTGGCCGGCCCTATTCCTCTCCATCTTGGGCATGGCAGCCCTGCCCCCTCACTCTTGGGCAGCAGCTATGGTTCCATCCCACTGGCTTACATGAACAAGCAGCCCCACACTCCAGAGCCAAGTTGGTGAAGGTCTCACTCTTTGAAACCTAAGGGGCTGTGGTGGTTTTACCCCCAAAGGCCATGGTCCTACTCTTAAGGCTGAGGCAGCTCTGCTTCCCATTTCCTTGGTCTTTTTACTTCTGCCGATTAATGCTAAAGGCAACCCACTGCACAGGAAATCTTCTGCCCTAAAAACACTCAGCTCTCTTGCTCCGTGGGCTGGCCAATGTGCTACTCCATTTGATGCTCATCTTCTCTACCATTTAATGCCCAAAGGCAATCCTCTCTGCCAGGAAACCGTCTACCCAATGGCACCTAGCTTTCTCCTCTGTGGGCTGGTAAGCCTGTTGCTGTTTAATGCTGGTCTCTGGGCTCTGCTACTGCCATCTCTCATGCTGGTCTGCTGGCTCTGTTCCTGCTCTCTCATGCCGTCAGCCAGGGTCTCGGGTCAAGGATGCACTCCACTCCTGTTTCCACATTTTAGGTATCTGTCAGAGCAGCACCCCACTTTCTTGGTACCGTATTCTGTTCTGGTTACCTAGTTCCACTCTGACAGGAATATACCACAAATGGGACGGCCTTAATAAACAGGAGTTTATTCTTACAATTTGGAGGCTATAAGTCCAAGTTCAAAGTGCCATGCTCTAGGGGCTGGGTGAAAGCCCTTCAACCTTGGGCTTCAGCTCCGCCTCCTGCTCCTGGCCCACTGAAGCTGGAGGCTTTTCTTCACTCAGCTGTGGCTGCTGAGGCTGACAAACCCAAGGTTGACAAGTTAAAAGACACAGTCCTGATGTTACCAACCCACACAACAGGCCATTACTTCAAGTCTATTTTAAATCCTAAGGTCAGAAGAGCATGGCAAGCAACAACAATGACACGGCTACATGCAGGATCCAAGTGTGCCATAAGCTAGAGACCATTCCCCAAGGTTTCTGCTTATATACAGGAAGCAAACCACATTCCCTAAGGCAGCTACTCAGCTGCTCACAGTAGATTCCACCATGGAGTTGATTGATATCCAGTCTCATCATGGGGAATACTACATCCAGCTGCCCAGCCACTCAACCAGGCCCAGCCAAGTTGACACACAAACTGAACTCCCACAGTAGTATTAACTGGTCTTCCTTGCAGGCATAAGGATATTATCCTATCACTTGTAGCATCGTACTTCAGGATAGATCTTGAAACATCTTTTGTGATGATGAATGCCATGCCATTCCTCTTCAAATTGTCATTCCTGATATAGTAGATCATATGATTGTCCGATTCAAAATGGCCAAAACCAGTCCAGTTCAGCTTACTATGCCCAGGATATTGAACTTTATGCATTCCGTTTCATTTTTGAGAACTTCCAATTTTCCTAGATTCATACTTCGTACATTCCATGTTCTGATTATTAATGGACGTTTGCAGCTGTTTCTTCCCATTTTGAGTTGTGCCATATCAGCAAATGGAGGTCCCAAAAGCTTTACTCTATCCACATGACTAAGGTTGGCTCTACTCTGAGGAGGCAGCTCTTCCCCAGTCGTGTTTTGAGTGCCTTCTGACCTGAGGGGCTCATCTTCCGGCACTATATGGGAAAATGTTTCAGGACTATTCACAAAGTTTTCCAGTAATACATCAGTGTTTCACTGCTATTCATAAGGTTTTCCCTGGCCAATTCTTTGAGAAGTGGATGGCCTCTTCCTTCTTCCAAGGCTGTCTTAGTCTGGAAGCTCCGATGACACCTGTCCACCATGGGTGAACCTGCTGGTATTTGAAATACCAATGGCATTGCCTTCAGTGTCACAGCAACACACAAGCCACCATAGTACGACAAACTGACAGACAGGTGATGGCAGAATTCTTTACCTAGCCAAGGTATCAATTTATCTTCCAAATGTATGTCTGTGAAGCTACGGGAGGATGTGCTTTACCAAAACGAGGAAATAAATGAAGAATGAGGACAATATTCAGGAAATAGGGGATCCACCCAACTCAAGAAGGATGTAAAGATAATCTGAGGGGGAAAGGAAATCCCAGGATGACAGCTGGTCAAGACAATGGTAAAGAGAAACCTGTCTTGACTGGAATAGATCAGAGGCCCTTGGAGAAAATTCTCCATGAAAAAGAAATCAATGGAATGTCTCATGTTTTAAAAATATTGAGAAATTTTGACAATTAGAGTTTGTGAATTAATTGTATGATAAGTACTCAGATAACTAAACAAAAAACCAAGACAATAATTAATTTCAGGAAAAGAAGAAAGTTGTGTATGAAAGGGAAAGCAATCATATATTACATGGCTCAATGTATTCATGTATTTCTTACACATTCATAATAAGGTGAGCACATATTCTTTGTTCACACATAAAATTTATTCATTGCTATGAAGACATAATAATGTGACCAGGCTTCTCATATAATTCTAATGGAAGTATGAAGAATGACAAAGGTATTCAAAAGTGGCAGAGATGTATGTGTGTGTTGGGGTCTGCAGGTGTGTGTGAAGACAAATTCCTGTCTTCCTTAGGTGGAAGTCCACAAATCATGTCTAAACCTGAAAAACTAAGAAATAGCAACATGAGTATATTATCTGAAACTAAAGTGGTAAAGTCTCAAAATAATTAGTTTCCTCTGGGAAGTGGTAGGGAGAGGAGGAAAGCAGAGTTTCCCTAACACATTTTATCGAATGGCTTGGCTGTTTAAACTAAGTGCATGTATAACTCTGATTTCAAACAATCATGGAAAAAGGTCCTGTAGAGTATGTAACGACATGGAAAGTAATATTTTAGTGAAGAGTTATACAACTGTTTGATGTAGTCTTTGTAACAAAAAAAATTATGAATAGAGATAGTGGTTTTCCCAGGTTTTAAAATGATTATTTCATGTGATGGCTCTGAATTATTAATTTATGGATATTGATGTGCTGGACTTAATGTACATATTTTTGAACTTTTTATTATAGTTTAGGTGAAAGTTTACACAGCAAATGGGTTTTCCATTCAACAATTTATACACATTTTGTTTTATGACATTAGTTGTACTCCCTTCAATGTTAACAGCATTTTTCCCACTTCCCTAGGTTTCCATTTGTCTGAAATTGCCTGCTCCTTCCTACCTTCTGAGCTGTTTTTGGGCAAATCCTGCCCTCTTGGTCTTACATGGTTAATTGTTCTGAGGAATACATTCCTCCTTGGTGTCATTATTTACTTTATAGTCCTACTGTTTGGCTGAAAGTTGATCCCTGGAGGTGGGGGTGGGTGGGTGTTGCGGTGGTGGGGGTAGGTTTAATTCTAGGCCTGATGGGGGTGTCTAAGGGCCACAGTCTCAGGAGTTCCACTAGTAAGTCTGGTCTTTTTATGATTTTGAGTTTTGTTCTACATTTTTTTTTTTTTCTCCTCTCTGTCCAGGACCTTCTATTGTGATCCTGATCAGACTGGTTGGTAGTAGTAGCCAGGTTTCATATATTTTTAGGTTCTTTATAATAAGATAGAGGAGCTCTGGTGGTGTAGCATCTAAGGCATTTGACTGCTAACCAGAAGGCTGGTGGTTCAAACCCACCAGCCACTCCTCAGAAGGAAGGTTGGGCAATCTACTTCTATAGAGATACCACCTTGGAAGCCCCAGGAGGGGTCGTTATGAGTCAGACTGACTCAACGGTGGTGAGTTTGGGTTTTCATAGTGAGCTATGACTTTATAAGCATTGGACATTGATTGGTATTACCATTTTCTATGCTATTACATTCCATAAGTACATCATTTCTACAGTGAGTATTAAGTGAGACACATTCACTTGACAAAACTGACTGTATTGGTTTGCATACAACATGATTTTCTACAAAATAAGTATTTTCATCTAAAATGTTCATAAAGAACATATTGCAGTTCATATCCTATATATAATTTTATGAAGGTATACTTAGAAATTTAACATTACGTATATAACTGCCATCTTGCAAACAACAGAGAACCCACATAAAAGAGAATTTTCAAGAAGTCACCCATCTAAGATAGATACTCACTGTGGCCCCATTTCTAATGGCCTCTTCATATAGCCCTATAACATCAAAGGTGCCTTTATTTGCCAACAGCTTTGCTTTGCAGATCCAAAATTTAGCAAATTTTTCAGCCTCAGGAATACTGGACAATATGGTAAATACTTCATTAGAAAATACACCCTGGAAAAAGCAAATGCCCAAAGGAAATTATCACCATCTCATTGTTACTCTCATATCTCCTAATATTTATCACACAGGCAAGTATGGAGAAATCAGTCTATCATTAATTCTTTTAATTAAAAAAAAAATCAAAATTACTGATGTACAATTTACGTACAATAAAATGCATCTATCTAAATCATACATTTCAATGAGTTTTCACAATAGTAATTAAATCTACATGAGACCAAACACACAGAAAAATTTATATCATAGCTGAAGATAAAGGAATATGTTCTACATTTTTATTTATATAAAAACCAACCAACCAACCCCCTAGAGCATTTATTTATGCACCAAAAGGAACTTCAAAATGGTTTCATTGGCTTGTACCTAGGGCAGGAGGGCAGTGACAGGAATCAGGAGGAATGGGGAACAAGGATGCTCAGCAGCCCAGGCACTCAGCCAAGTAGCACCTCCTACTCCTCCCAAGATGGAAAAGATACAAGATAACTCACAACTAAGAATTACCAATGTTTTGAGAAAACAAACACCACATGAGAGAAGCATAATACTCAACCAACAGAAGAATGGACACTGGAACAAAGAGTTGAAGGAGCAAAGAGGAATAAATTTTAAGAGTATAACAGTATCTTCAGAGTGATAAGAGTGGTACTGCCACTGTAAGACTAGAATGGAGAGCTATGCAAAAGAACCAAGAAAAGGGCCAAACATTGGTATGGATACCCTGAAAATTCAGTGAGGTGAAGATTCAGTGAAGAAATTCTCCCAGAAGCCAGTGTAGGAACAAAGAAATGAAGAGTATGAAAGAAAAGTTAAGAATTCTACATGTTACAAGCATGTCTCAGATATATTGTGAGTTTGGTTCTAGACTACCACAATAAAGCAAATGTCACAATAAAGTGGGTCACACAAAGTTTTTGGTTTCCCAGTGCATGTAAAAGTTATGTTTACACTATTCTGTTGTCTATTAAGTGTGTAATAGCATTATGAAAAAGTTTGAAATATTGTGAGAATAACAAAAATGTGACACAGAGACATGAAGTGAGCACATGCTGTTGGAAAAATGGTGCCAACACACTTTGGCCATGCAGGGTTGCCACAAACCTTCATTAAAAAAACACGGTATCTGTGAAGTGCAATAAAGCAAAGCACAAGAAAACGAGGTATGCCGTACTCAGGAATTCCAATACTCATCTCAGAGAATTTCTAAGAGCGATATTGAGATAACAAAGGAAAATACACACTCAAAGCAATTGTAGAAAAAATTTACCTGAACAAAGATATAAGTGTTCAGATTGAAAACCCCTCAGAGATTCAAGCAAGATGAATGAAATAAGAACCATATGTAGAAAACCAAGGATAAAACGAAAATCTTAAAAGGGGGGGGGAGGGAGAAGAGAATTCCTATAGAGGAATGAGAATCAGACTGACATGAGACTTTAAATCAAGAACTCCAAATGCAAGAAAGAAAATGAAGCAATTAACTTAATATTTCCCAAGGAAAATAATGTACAATTAGAAAATTTTCCCAGTTAAACTATGATTCCAGCATAAAGATGAAAAAATAAAATTTCATAAGCATAAAGAAAGTTTACCATTGAAAAACTGTAAGGCTGCTAGTGAATGAACTTTAGAATCCAAGAGGAAGACTTGAAACAAAGAGCTGTGAGAAAAGAAACCAGCTAAAACTTAAAAAAAAGTAACATCAACTTGGAACCAAAATCTAAATAATCTCAGAATGGAAGGTGGCACTAAAAGAGGGGTATGGAAGGAAACAACTTGTCAAGTTTCCTTTATGTATGATGAGAGACAGGGAGGAAAAAAAGGGAATATATATATATTGATCAACCCTAGATATAAATATATTTTAAACATTTACCAGTAACTACAGAAGAATAAGACATATAACTTAGAAACCCGATGGACTTACAGCTACCATTTTATTTGTGATTTCTAATTATATACTTTTTTTACGGACTACAGAAAACCAGATCAAATATAGAAAGAGGAATACAAACAAAAAAGAATTCATGTAAATTGAATTACAAATTACAATGATGGGCATAAATTTAAAATGATTAGTCACATAAACACATATGGCCTAAGTTCACCTTAAAGATTTAAAATTTAAGTATGCATTAAAAGAAAGTAGTTTCAGATTTGTTTAAAAAAAATTCAACTGTATGCATTCACAAGAGACATTCCTAAAATAAACCAACACAGGAAAGTTTAAAAATAAAGGGATAGAAAAAGATTTACCAGACAAATACTAACAACAACAACAACAACAACAACAAAATGCAGGCGTGGTGAGTTTAGTATCAGACAAACTAGAAATCAAAGCAAGTCATGAATAGTTATGTACTTAACAATATAACCGAAAAATATAAAGTAAACAGAAACACAAAGAATATAATTAAAAATTAATAAATCAACAGAATAAGAACCAGAAAAAGCAAAAAAATGAACTATATATCTGGAATCAAATAATATTCTTCTAAAATAACTTTTGGGTTAAAGAACTCAAAATGAAAATCTCAAACTATTTAGGAATGAACAATAATGAGAACATTTGTCAGTTATTAAGTTTTTGTCTCAGCTGCAAACCTTCTCTATTTTCTGCTCTATGATGCTGGAGCTGTTGTTGTTGTTATGTGCTGTCGAGTCGACCCCTCCTTGGGTTTCCGAGGCAGTATCACTACGGAAGTAGATTGCCCCATCTTCCTTCCGAGGAGTGGCTGGTGGGTTTGAACCGCCAGCCTTCTGGTTAGTAGTCAAGTGCCTTAGGCACTATGCTACCAGAGCTCCTGATGCTGGGGCTAGAATTCAGCAAACCATATTCGAACAGCTCGCTATTGGGCTGTACCAATAGGAGGCATTAGAGGGAGAGTGCAGGGCTGGAGAAGGGATATCTTCCTTCCAGTTGGCTTGCATCACTCCAGCAATGGCTCTTGGCCCTGGTAGTAGTGGTGGAGCTCCAGGCTCTACCTTTTTTTCTGGCATTCCTAGAACCTGTCTCACTATGTCCCATCAGAGGCATGCGCACAACTTAGGCATCATTTTTTCCTCAAGGTCTGAGTCCCAGCCCTACAAGGCTCTTCCTTCAGCCTCTATGGTATCAGCATCTGGTGGGTAGTAAACGTTCCTCAGAGTTGGAGTCCCATTTCCAGATGGGTTCATGTTTCTTAGTTTCTGATGCCTCCAACCTCTCTGTTTCCCTAAACTCTGCAAGTGCTAGCTACTTCCTAGAGTTACTGCCATTGTTACCTCAGGTATCTTTTTGCTTTGTCAGCCCTGTATGATGATGATGTCACCTGAGTGTAACAACTGAATCTCCTCTGATCCCTTTATCATTTTTGTGTACACAGGTTTATAATGTGCTTTTATTTCTAATGGCTTCTTTGTATGTGTCCAGAGAGCCAGAAGAGAAGTGCCTCAGGATTTATGTTCCCCTAGGGATAGCCATTCATCAACGACTATGGCAGATTAATACCCTAGCTCCCTTTTCCCTGATGAGTACGACTGTAAGAGGTAACCTCAATGTCTCCAGAGCTCCCTAGTAGGATTGCTACCAAAGTTACCCTCCAGGTTTTGCATGATACTATACCCTGCTTGGCCTCCTTTCCTTTCTGGTCCCATATCCCGATCACTCCCCTACCAGTTTTCCCTGAAAAAAAAAAAAAAAAAAAAACCAAAAAAACTAAACTCACTGCTGTTGAGTTGAATCTGACCCATAGCGAACCCTTCTTGGGTTTCCGAGGTGGTATCTCTATGGAAGTAAATTTCCCAATTTTCCTTCCAAGGAGTGGCTGGTGGGGTTTGAATTGTCTCTGGCTAGCAGTCAAATGCCTTAGGCACTATGCTACCAGAGCTAATTTCTACATTACATTCCTTTTATTGAAATACCAGGTGTGATTTCTGTTTTTTTTAACCTGATCCTGACCAATAAAAAACATTACTTATCCAAATCTGAGGGATATAACTAAAGCAAAATTTAGAAACAAATTTATAGCATTAAATGTATTTCTGAAAAAAATAAGACTGACATAAATGATCTAAGCTTTCAATGAAGAAGGCTAGGACAAGAAAATAAACATAAAAATGGGTACAGATATTAATGCAAGAGAAAAAAATCAATAAAAACCAAAAGATGAACTTTTTAAAAGATTAACAGAGAAATGTTTGACAAGCCTGATTTAAAGAAGGACAAAAAAAATAAATGACCTAATCTGGTTCAAGAAAAAATAGAAAACTTAAATAGACCAATGACCACAGAAGAAACTGGAAAGATACACACAAAACTATCCCCAAAGAAGCATAGTTCAGATAGTTTTATGGGCTAATTCCACCAAATTTCAAAGAACTAAACAATTCTCATGTTGTATAAACTATTTTCAGAGAATAGGAAAAAGAAAAATATCCAAATCATTAACAAAACCAGCTTAACACTGATAATAGGAATACACAAAAGACAATCTAAGGGAGACTTCTGGTAAGATGGAGGAATAGGCAGACAAGCAACACAGACCCCTCTTCAACAAAGAAAAGAAAAACCAATTGACAGAGATACAGAAGATAATCCTGGAACCCTGAGCTTTGAAAGGAACTATATAGAAGTGGATTAGGCACCAACTAGTGGATAAACGAAAACAGTGAGTACAGAGACGGTCAGAGCTGCAGACTGTCAGCTACTCTGATGAGACCAACAGCCTGAATATTTCCAAGTGGTGTTGGGACCTGAGAATTGACCTAAAGATCAGTCCCGGTCACCAAGGGCTGCAGGGACAACTGCTCTGGTGCCCTACGACTAGGAAGGGAAACAACAAGAAGGGAGACAACCTGAGCTGTGGACTTTCTGCTGTCCGGAGGGAACAACCATTTTAATTGTTTACATGTGACAGCCATTTTGGATATTAAAAGTGATCGAGGGCACAGCCATTTCAAATGTTTACAAGTGGTGGCCATTTTGGATATTTAAAGTGATAGAGGGCACAGCCGTTTTGAATGTTTACAGAGGCAACCATTTTGAATTTTAAAGTGATAGCATTCTCATTCAGATTTCAGGGACCTAAGAGCAGGCTCTGTTTGCCGGGGTTGGCAAGGACATACGAGAGGCTAACAACAGGAAAGGAGACAGCTGGTGAGTGTATAAGTGCTGTCAACTAGTGAATGGAAGAGCACAGCACAGTACCCTGCCTGCATAGATAACATACAAACAAAACAAAGAAAACAAAAATTGTGGGCAAGTCACTCCAACATATAAGTACCAATTAAATATAAACACAAAAACATCAAAATGCCTTGGAGACAACAGAGCGTCACAGTCCACACAAAGAAGCAAGATAGAGCAGGAGAACGAGGGACCAGGATACAGACCCAGAACACATCCCTGAGGAAGATGCAGCATTGGAACTCTCTGATAAGGAATTCTAAAGAATTATCTTTAGGTATCTTCAAAGGATTGAGAGACAGACCAAGGAAAACACAGAAAAAACCGTGGAATAATTTTGGAAGACAATACAAGAAGAACAAAATGACAAAATCAATGAAAAATTAGAAATGATTCTAAATCTACTGATAGAAATCCAGAAGATTAATACTAAATTGTCAGAAATAGATAACACATTGGAAGGGCAAAGGAGTAGAACTGATGCAATGGAAGACAGAATTAATGAGATTGAAGACAAATACTTGAATACTTCTTTGGAAAGGGATCAATCAGAAAAAAGATCAAAACAAAATGAAGAAAGCCCAAGGTTCATGTGGGATACCATCAAAAGGAATAACCTATGTGTCATTGGAATTCCAGAATAGGAAGAGACAAATAAAACCACTGAGAAAATTTTCCAAGATTTGTTCGAGGAGAACTTCCGTGATATGATGAAAGATGAGAATATATCCATTCAGGAAGTCCAATGAACCCCAAACAGGATAGACCCCAAAAGAAAAACACCAAGACATATCATTACCAAACTCACCAAAACCAAAGACAAGGAATCATGAGAGCAGCATGGGAAAAATGAAAAGTTACCTACAAGGAGCAACTAATAAGACTAAGTTCAGATTTCTTGACAGAAATCATGCAGGTGAGAAGACAGTGGGCTGGTATATATAAGACACTGAAAGAGAAAAATT